CCCCAAAACCCCAAAACCCCAAAACCCCAAAACCCCTATTCTTATAATTATTTTTGAAAATAAATGAGTCATAGACAGCCATTACCAGACTATTTTGAAAAGAAAAATATTCGTTCTGAACCATATTTCTTAAGAAAAAACTACCAAGAACAGAGAGAAATCATTCAAAAACCTTATACTAGGCCAATGGCTGCTCAACATTTGGCTGCAATGAGAATTCAAAGGTTTATTCGATCATTCTTAGCTTATCTTGAAGAAAATCCTGAGAAGAGAAGAAATCCATCCAAGAATATGAAAGGGTACCATGAAGATTCTTCTGAAATTCAAAATCTAACTCCTCTTCAAAAACTTAGAGCCAAGTTCTTGACATCTGCTTACAATATTCTTCATAAAAGTGAGGAAGGATGCTTTCAAAACTTTTGTGCTGCTAAAATTCAAGCCACATTTAAAATGGCTATTACTCGGAGATTATTCAAGTACTATCAGTTTGCAATGTATCATATTGCAGCAATTCAGATCCAATGGGCTTGGAGGGGACATGTCTCTAGAACTCGCAAGAATTACAAAAAGACTAAGGAAGAGATAGCTTGTGAGAAAATTCAGAGGTGATGGAGAACCTTCACTAACGTTAAAATATTCAATTACTACAAAGACCTGATTAGTTTTAAATAACAAGGGAGATCCAATCCAATTGTTGAAGTCTATTAATCCATCAGAGGCGATGTTGCTAGATCCTGCCTCTAAGTGCCACTTGAGGTTTAGGCTTGGAGGAGAGAAATTCCCTCCTCTAATCTATTACAAAATATTTACTCATGCTCCTCTATGCGACATTGGAGCATTTGCTCCAAGAGATTACATGAAGATCAAAGCTAAAAAGAAGAAACAAATAGTTGATATTAGGTTTGACAAGCACCATGATGATTCCAACAACCAAGGATGGTATGAAAGGGAGGAAAATAATGGCTGGAGGCCCATCTCTGACAAGATTCTCTCTCCCTTTGACAATGTTGAGATAAGAACAGCTAAAGCACGCAAGAAATTTCATAGAGATTTGATGAAGAGAAAAGAACTTTCTGCTGCTACTAAGAGACAGAGAAAGTTGAAATGGCTTAAGAAGTTATATAAAGATGCTAAAAATGCTGAACTAATCACTGAGAATGATAATTTAAAGCATGAGCCTAACATAGAGAGTCTCTACAGTAATCCATTTGAAGAAGAAAGGTTCCTCGAATACGACAATGATAATTTTGATAAAGAGGTAAATGCCTTAATAGAATGGTGAGAAGACCTTGATTATGACAAATACGTAGCAAATTGGGGAGAACTTGCCACAAGTGGAAAGTCTGACCTCAAGCCTGAAGAAATGACTGAATTTGACGACACTTATCCAGTATAATTTGAAGTTTAAGTAAAATTATTTATTTGAATTAATTGGAGTCTGTGAGGCAATATCTAAGGCTCTTTCGAGTTTAATCTGATGAGTTATTTCATTCCATTGATAGAAAAGAATCCTAAGCATCTCTCTTCTCTCAGTGACATTGAGGGAACTGTCTTCGTTAATCTTGGTATCTTTGAAGAGTCATTTTATGTTAGCTTTAACTGGAATATTTTGATACTTTTTATCATCTTCTTCATCCTCAGACTCTGTTGTTTCAGTTTCTTGCTCTGACTTGATATCACTTAGGATTTCAGAACCTATTTGAATGTCTAAGGGATCTCCCAGCGATTTCTTGGGAGTTTCAAACTTTTGCGGATCATTATTTTCACTCTTTTTTGGAGTATCTTGAGAGAACTTCATACTTTCACCAATCCCCATCCTTCCACCAAGCCCCATCCTTCCATCCACCCTCTCATCTTTCCTCTCCAAACGACTCTCCACTTCCTTCTTCCCACTACCAATCCTCTTCCCTTTACTCCTTTCCCCCTGTCCCCCATCCTTCCTCTCTTCATTCTCCTCCATCTCAAAATCCTCAGTTTCACTCATCTGCCTAAATTCCTTCTGTGGTTCAATTTCAGCTTCTCTAGTGGGGCTGTTAGGAAGAAATAATTTTTTGTTTGATTTTTGCTTTGTTTCAAAAGAGATATCTGGAATTTAGATCTTATGCTTAAAGGAAGTTAAGATTGTTTGGAATTCTGATAGTTTTTGAATTTATTTCCAAGGAGCAAACCAGATTTTGATGTTGCTGGCTTTGATGGAATTTTATTACAAGTTGTTTCAATCTTACTCATTTATTCGGGGTTTTGGGGTTTTGGGGTTTTGGGG